TTGGATGGTTTCAATATCATTAAAAATGCATCCTTTCAACTTTATTTTCATTTTTGGAAATAAAGAGAAGTCACATGGTGCTAAATCGGGGGAATACGGCGAATGATTCAACACACAGACTTGATTTCGTGCCAAAAATTGACGAACAATCAATGATGTGTGACTCGGTGCATTATCGTGTAACAAACACCAGTCATCAGAATTGCGATATTCTGGTCGAATTCGACGAATTCTTCCCATTAATCGTTGTAAAACTCCCAAGTAGAAAGCAGCAGTAACTGTTTGACCCTGTGGGACGAACTCACGGTGGATGATGCCTTTGCTATCGAAGAAAACAATGAACATCGTCTTGATTTTTGATGGAACTTTTCGTGTTTTCTTGGCTTGAGGTGATGATAAACACTCACTTCCATACACTTTCTGCATCATTTTGAACGTTTCTGTGGCACTTGTGCCAAGTTTAGCATGAAATTTAATAACAGCACGTTGTTCCATTATTGTTTGCCGACATGTAACAAAATAAACTGATAAACAAAATATCAAAAACAATGATAAATGTCAACCGATTTAAATAAAAGTTTTAGGTTAGTAGCGACATCTGTTCAAACTTCATATGACATAAAATTTAAACAGATGTCGCTACTAGTTGCTGAGATATAGCTTCAGTCCCGGAATTTAATTGCCGCACTGTGTATATATTTATTTATTTATATGTTTCTCTATGCATTTTGTGCTATAGTACAAGCATATAAATTGCTTCAAATCAAATTGAATTCGATTGATAAACATAAACTAAGGTGATCATCATATGGGTGATCTGCCAAAAGATGTCTCCTGAGAGGACTTTATTTTTCGACCGTCCGCGATCTAATCCGTATCGGTCAAAAAATCCCAAGAATTTTTTGGGTGTGCTCCGTCCGCTTTATATCCGGACATGGTCTTTTACCATCCGGCCACTCCATTTAGGTCTGGCCGAATCTATAATGGGCTTGCTAAAAAAAAGGCCCCTTTAGTACTCTCAGGGCAGAAAGAGTTTTAAAAAAAGCATATGGTAATATATTTTTAGAGTTTACATTCGTTTAACCGCATCATCTACTCGAATATCTTGAGAAAGATCATTTTTAGAAACTAAAATATATTTTAGATAGACTTAGTAATAATTTATGTGAATGGTTTGAAAGCGTTTATGTTTATGTCGTCAGAATATAATATTTTGAAGAGAATATAAAGCAGTTATGGATGAAATGAGCAAAAATAGTAATTTATTAAGACGTGTGTTAATGTAGCATGTTTTAATTAATGCATTAATTTTATATTTATATTTTATATATATTGTATAATGCAATAAGTACAAAAGTTTTAAAGTTACAAAATTGTTTTTAATGGCTGTTGGCCTATATTCTAGTTTTTCCAAATTTTAATTATATGTCCAGTCCGCTATCCGGACCCGATCCCGGGTCCCTCAGAGCGGTCGGATAATGTTTTAATGTCTCGGCTATCCGGCCATTATTGGTCCCAAGATGATTATTTATTGGTTTTTTTTTTTTTATAAAAGTTATTTGAGATTATTTGAGAAGTTATAACAACAGCATTCTGTAATTTTGTTTTTCCTAATGTAAAATATTTAGCGCTTGAGTATAATATTTCCATTTTAAGTTTGTGCTTGTGTAAAGTTTCCAGTATATAAAGGAATCACACTGTTGCTCACGCCAACCTACATTGGAAATGGCCTGACGTAGACTACACGGTGATGAAAATTCCAAATGCTTGTAGAATCGTTTGAGAGTGATGAGGAAGTTTCTAAGTATGAAAATCATATAAATGAAATGTCCGAATGAGATAAAATTTCAGACGATGATTCTGTTAGTGTAGCTGTGGGGCTTAATCTAAATGTCCAAAATATTTTGTCAAAAGATCGAAAATAGAATGGAAAGTAGGGCCATCCCAGCAAAACTATCGATTATTAGCTTCCAGAATCATCCGAAATATTCCTGGAGTTACAAGATATGCCTGTATCAGAATCGGTGTGACAAAATTGTCATTTGAATTATATTGAAGATAAAATAACAAAAATGAAAAATATTAAAGGATAACATATTTTAGATAACAGTGGTAATATCTAGTTAGTGCTATTTTTCAAGCATACATTGATCTTCTGCTACTAGCTGAAATTTATCGCTCACACAATAAATCTTTGAAAAGCTTATGGGATAAACTGGTCGAAAAATATTTAGAACAACAACTTCACTTAAATTTACTATTCGTGTTTTTGTATTGATGAGAAGACAAGAATGAGATGAAAAGAAAACGATAAATTTCTTTTTCCTTTAAATTTGTCCCAGGTTCTATCAGGTTGTAAAAGCGAAATTTAAACATTTCGAATTTTTCTAGAAACAGCTGGGAAAAAAAGTGTTCTAGAACGTTCGATACGACTATATATATAATGTAACCAAGGAGCGATTCATCACATATTTCGTTGGAATCATCAGCAATGTTTGACTATATGAAATTTTCGAAAGAATACATTCGCTTACCATTGCTCTATCAGTTCAAAAGTGACCAAAACACAACGAAAGCTTAAGATCTCATCTGCAAGGCAATTTGGTAAGGACCAGTCAAAAGGATGGCCTGCTACAATTTGTTCAAGAAATTCAAGGATGGAGATTTTTTCTTCAAGATGAATCCCATTCAGGCAGCAATTTCACCATTTATAATGATGTTCTTCTGCAACTGACAAACGATAATACACGATAAACCATCAGAGAATTAGCATAACTTGAATATTCGAAGATCGAAGAACTTCGTCTGATACCATCATGATAAAGCAGTAGCACACAGAGCAAAGATAACCTTAGAGAAACTAACCAGTCTGAGCTGGAAGATTCTGCCCTCTCCATCTTATGTTAGAGTGTTTGCGCTATTTTTTATTTAATTTATTATAGATACGAAGAAAAGGTGTAACTCTGTTCTCTCACAGAACTAAACTAAGAAAAGATGAAAAATGTATATACATACCAATCTTCAATAAACAAAAAGTCTATTAATATTGTATTAATACACATCACAAAAGCAGTTGTTATGTTTCAGATCGCGCGGAAGAAGAAAAGAATGTATGGGATTTTTCCCTTTTTAGTCACGACAAAAAGGTCTTGCATTTTTCTCCCGCGCATTTTTTGTTGAAGAGTTGAACAACGAGATCTAACACACCTCACACTTCGCTCCAACTATCATTTATTTCGCGTTTGGGAAATAAATGATAGTCATCAGAATTACTATAGGCATCTGGGGATTTCTCCAATCGATCCTCGATGTTTGGCAACTCAGATTTCTGTATATATAGTAGTCAGTAACTTTTACTTGGCGCGAAGTCACTGACGTGACTCTCGATAAGGATTACATTAATAAGACCGGATGGCCGAGCAGTCAAGTTGGCAGCCTACCGCTCTGGGGGAGCCTGGCCGAACCCATAATGTGCTTGCATAGAGGCCCTCTTAGTGCCCACAGGGCGGAGAGAGTTAGAAAAAAAAGGATTAAATTGCTTGAAAACAAATGATTTTCATTCAAAATGTTATCCAAAATTACAAAATCTCAAATTTATCCGAATTAAAACGTTTATTAACAGCATATTGAAGGTGGCTGTTGCCAAGCGCCGACTGAAATTTACATTATAGTCTTATGTTTTTATGTAATAAAACAACCATTAACTAAAATTCAATTCATATGTAAAGAAAAACATCTGAGATGCAAAAAACTGCGCCAAGTAAAAATTATGACAATTTAAACGACAGTCAATTTTTTCTTAGGAGCTTTTCTTTGGTAAAGATAAGCTTGGCACTTCGAAACGGCATCCACAAGAATTTATTATTATTTTATACATTTCACTTTGAAGCGCCAAACTTATCCCAAGAAAAAAACTTCGATTATTATCTAAATTGTCATAATTTTTTACTTGGTGCAATTTTTTAATCTCAGATGTTTTTGTTTGGATACCTCATCTGAGCTTTCGGATGAGATGCGTGCAATAATTTGAATCCTGCCTTTGCTGTTCTGATCTGTATGACATGGCGATTAATTTGACTATATTTTTCTTCTTTCTTTCTTTCTTATTAATATGGAGACTCTAGCCTATATTTTTCTGTGCTACTCATTTGGAATCTATACGTCTGATATTTCCAGCGGCACAGCGTCTTCAGTAGAAAATCTAATAAATAAATAAACTTTTCAACAAAATTAATATAAAAAATTTATNAAAAAACAAGATCCAGTTTATAATATTTTTCTTAAAATATATTTATTTATTTACTTTTTTTGCAACTCAAAAAATTAAGAGTAATTTAAAAACACAGTAGAAGCTGCAAAACGTTAAATTAATTTTACATATTAGTTAATAAATCACAGTAATATATTTAAAAACAAACTGATCAACATTTAATATAAAATTTATGTTTTAATTACTCAGAAATATTTTTCTCTTCTTATTTCAACATATTAAACAAGATAATTGTTTCTGGTAAATTATCTAATAAACAAATAAGCAACAACTACATTAAAACAATTGCCTTAAGTGGATATAAAAATAATAACAAAATGACTTTAATTATAATTAAGTAAAATGCTTTTCTTCCAGTTAAAAAATGTAAACTAATCATCAGAATTCATCCTAATTTTAAAATCTATTAATTTTATCCGATGAAGAGGAGATTAATTGGGTTAGAATAATGCCGGAGATTTTGATGTGAGGATGAAGTGAAGCGTAAGCACCGCACCCAGACCTAACCTGAGAGTCAATCAATGAAATTTCGAATTAACACGGATTCAAATTTGATCCACGACCGAAGATCACTGATCAAGATCGGATCGTAAGCAGACATGACATAACTAAACGGTTGAAAAGAGAGAAAAACGTTCTTGATCCATACAAAAAATGAATCCAGAACGAATCAAGATGAGAAAGTGAATGGGGTGAATGAGAAAGTATTCTGCAGGTGGAAAATACTTACGTAGGGTCGGAAGCCGGGTGTGCCGATGAGCTGCGGAACGTTCGATCTTCGATCTTTTCGCGAAATCGTATACTCTTGATCGATTAAGAAACTTGTTTACGTCGAAAGTGGATAACAGACGCTAAATAAATACTCGGAATCACATCAAAAACACCTGTAACCTCAAGTAAAATATCGTCAGAACGATTTCCATCGGTACACGTGCGAACAACCCATTCGTAACGAACCAATCGGAAGTGGAAGCCGGTATTACGTCAACAGAAATCCGCATCTACTTCCAATCTGGCTGCGCAAGCGTCGAGCTAGGAAAAGACGTCTGGCGAGGATAATAGGAATAAAATTAATTCTTCATTTTTTTCCCTCCTAAGAAAAACAATAATTTTATTAAATTAACAATAATAATGAAGCGAAAAGAATTATCAATGAATTTATATATTCAAATTTAAAAAATTACATATATTTAATTTTTAATCCTAATTAATTTCTTTATTTACAATCTACAAGAGATCTAGAATAAGAAATTAACCAATTTTACTTTAATTGCGTGAATACTTTTAAGTTAATTTCTAATTCAGGATTAAAAATAAATATTTAACTGTTATGTTTTGACTCCACTGGTTTTGACGGCCAGATGGCCGAGCGATCAAGGTGGCAGCCTACCGCTCTGCGGAACCGAGATCGAATTCAGGCGAGACAAATAATCCCCACGAATTTTTCGGGGGTTCGGGGGTTATCCGTTCGGATATGTCGGGCCCCGTCCCTCACCACTTGGTTGCCCCATTGTGGGCCTGGCCGAACCCATAATAGACCTGCTAAAAAGATGCCCTCTTAGTGCCCATATGGCAAAAAAAAAGGCTCTATTGGTTGGAATTTTTGACTGATGGCCGAGCGTTCATGTTCAAGGTGGTAACCTATCGCTCTGGGCACCCAGGATCAAATCCGGACGGTCGAAAAACTCCAGAAATATTTTGGGGTGGTCGGATTCCAGCCCTCGCTATCCAACCACTTCATTATGGGCCTGCTAAAAAGCCCTCTTAATTAATGGCCACAGGTAGGAGACAGTTAAAACAGCTCTCTGATTTTAAAAACAAATTCCACACGGCATTGCTATAGCGGCTAGTTTCGACGTGTCAAATATTTGCCGTTGCCTCTAAGACTATGTTTTCGGTAGCTAATATATGATGATGATGGTATAATTTTTTTCCTATTTGAAAGCGTGACAGTCCATTTGAGTGATGTTTTAGCGTTTCTAATTGGTTCCTTTGCTTAGTGGCAGATGCCATTGCTTTCAGAGAAATGGAGTTTTTGTCTTTGCCTGTGAGCGTTTGCTGCTACTGCTTGCCACTGCCGTTGGAAATATGAAAATTAGATATATATAGACTTTCTTCTATAATAAACAGCGATAATTTGCATTGAATTAAAAAATATATATATATTTAAATATATATTACTCAAGGAAAAAGAAAACAAAAACATGATATTACCCTATTAATTAAGATATTTATCAATACCACAGCAAGCGAATCTGATAGATTTGAATATAATGTGGATACGTCGTAAAAGGAAACTATAAATAATACTAAAAATATCCTTTGCAGGATTATTGTTTTCGAAGTCAATAAGAAGGAAACATCTTAATTATTGACTTCAGACAATACTTACACAAAAGAAAAGTCGACTTTCAAAAATTTCCTCTTTACAAATGAAGCTTTATACAAATGGTTTTAAAGAGGAACTAAAACAGGTACTATACGCTGTTAACTGCTTACTACAAGTTAAAAATGTTGATAATATATATTAAATAGAACAATGCTACTTATATCGACCCCTTTCGAAACTTTAATTATTAAGAATTTCTGATTTTACGCTTTATGAGATATGCATAATAAGATGATAATATTCCTTATTATTCATGCTCGTTACTAGCTGAAAATTTATTTATAAAGATCATTGATATACAGAAATGACAGTGGCGTGCCGTCCTTGGAAGCGGTGGAAGCGCCGCTTTCCTTGTATTTTCTAAAATATATTATTTATTATCTAAAATATATAGATTTATAACTTAACCCAAACGATAGGAATTTACTGATATGTTTTTATGATAGTTCTGTATAGTTGACAGGAGTTAAAAAGAAATTCATTAAAGTATTTGATATATTTATTCTGCTCTCCCATCTTATATTACTTACGGATCTTATATTATTACGATTTCGTATATCCCATCTATAAGTGGATGTATAAAAAAAAAGTTAAAAAATTAACTGTTACTTTGGCAGCATCATTTACAACTAAATTTAATGAATGAGATGCACAAGGTACAAAAAAAACTGTAGAATTTATTTTCCTTAAATTTACGGTTTATGTAGGCTATCCGTTGTCATAAAAATTTGTCTTTCCACTTCTTTCCCAGGACTACAAATATTCGAGTACAAAGTAACTGGTTTCAACTTATTTCTATTTAAGAAGTAGTTAAATAATTAAGAGATTGGGGATTAGGGACATAAATAAAACCCTGCTAAAAGAGCCGGAATTTTACATAAACAAAAGCTTAACCGAACCAATCTCTAGCCGAGTATAGTGGGGACTGATTTATTCGTAATATTAGATGAAATAAAGACAGAAATTTTTCGAGTTCAACGAGAGTGACCGAAAAGTTGTAAATTTTGGAAATTTCCGTTGATACTTGATCGTAAAACGAATTAGTTAGAGAACAAATGACTATTATGTTTAACATATGTAGATTTTTACAGCTATGGTGAGAAACGTTTAAAATCTACAACAACCCTGTCACGCCCTTTGAGATATACTAGTGATGCGACAAAAGAGGCATTTGACATTAATCGGTATCGGCACCTTCGGGATTTGGCACGCATGCACGCACTGCACACCTACCAAGATCGTCTCTGATTCCATCCATGAGGGAGCAATTTTAACTAAGTTTTAAGATTTAAAAAGTAAAGAATATTGTATGTTATTTTTATGTATGTTTCTTTACAAAGCTATATTTAATTATAATTTTCTTTAAAAGTATATTCATACAATTGAATATTTTGTATCAAGTATGTATAATTGTATATCCATCACACATTTTATTTTACTAAGTTTTAATAATTTTATTTTTAATTTTAGCGCTTATATCGTGACTAGCGATTCAGAATGTAATTACGATATCGGAAATTTATTTTAAAAAGTTTTGGCTCAAGACCATATACTGTAATGAAAAAAAAAAAAAAAAAAAAAAAAAAAAAA